CCCTCCCAGAAGGTGCCAGGGGTGGCAATGGGACCCTGTTCCTGGGGGCAGAGGTGGGCAAGCTGCTGCCGCAGGGCAGGCTCTGGAAGCCAGGCTCCCTCCTTGCCTTTTGCTGCCAAGGGCTGCTTCTAATGGGGACCTACTGCAGTGCCCATCCAGCCTTGCTCAACTGGCACTGGGGGGGTGAAAGCCAAGAGGATCTGAGCTGTGTGAGTCACCAGAGCATCAGGCATTAACCCCCCCCAACCCGCCCCAAGGCTGCAGGGGAGTGCAGATGGGCACAAGCTCTTCCCTGCTGCCCCCCTAGTGCATTCCCCAAGGCAATGCTGACAGGAGCTCTCCTGCTGCTCCTGCAGCCTCCAGCCTGGCGTGCTCTGGAAGCATGGCCCTCCCCTTGGTGGTGCTGCAGGTAGATCAGAAGGGTTGGAGCGTGGCTCCGGGCTTGAGGAGTGTGACTGTGCAGCAGGAGACATGCAGGGAGCTTTTCCTGCAAGGTTTGCCCGTCCTTGATGGGGGAAGCAGGGCATGGGCAGGCAGATGGGCTCAGATGGGCTGCTGCTCTCAGATAATGAGCTCTGTGCTGGGCAAGGCAGGGCTGCTCCCAGTCACCAGTGTGGCTGGTTCTATTCGCAGCACTGCCCCAAAGCCCCCTTGCCCCAGACCCCAGTTCCTTTCTGTCGCATGAGCTCCATCCTTCCCTCTGCAAACACCGTGTGGTACAGACCATCCCCGAGCTCCTTCGTGCTTCCCCTGGCCCAGGGCTGCTGCAGCAGATCCCTCCTGGCCCAGGGCTGCTCCAGCAGATGCCTCCTGCCCCAGGGATACCAGTTGGAAGATGGATTATTTGTGTCCTCCCTGTTGAGCCCAGTCCCTGTGCCCACGTTGGCTGCTGGTGCACTGGGACAAGGGGTGCTTGGGTGGGACTTGTGTTTGCACTGGGGCTGCGAGTGGCCGGGGAGGGGGGGGGGTCTTGTGAGGGTCCTGCTCTCTGCCTGTCCTGTCCCTTCCTTTCCCGTTGTGCTGCCAGTGGTGACTCACTGCTGGGTGCTTGTGAAGAGCCAGCAATTGTCTTGTCTTTGGGCAGGGAGCAAGAGGAAAACAATGGGTTTGTTACAGCAAAGTGTTGGCAAAGAGCAGCTTGGGGGTCAGGCTGGGAGTGCTGGCAGAGCCTTTGGTTTTCCAGTGGGATTCAGGGAGGGGTGGGCTTTGGGGCAGGCTCTGGGCTAGCTGGATGGGGAGATGATGGAGAGGGAGCCCTTGTCTGCATCGGAGGTGCTTTGGTCCATCTCCTCTGCAGAGACTGAAAGCATCAGGCAGCCTCCTGCCTCCCCTGGCTCCCTCTCTTATCCTGCACCATTCCCACTGCCTCCGGCTGGGACACTGGGCAGGCACCTGCCCCCTCTTAGGTGCATCTGGGTCCCTTTAACCTTCCCCTTCACGCTGTTGAGTGCAGCCCGGGGGGGTGATGGATGGGCAGGGCTTCAGCGTGGTGCTCGCACACCAGAGCAGGGCTGTTGCTGTGTCTGACCCGGGCAGGGTTTGGGTATGGGGGGCAGTGGTGGGAGTCCTCCAGCAGAAGGGGGAGAGAGCCTGTGTGGGTAAGAGCAGTGATGAAGATGCTCAGTGGCTCTGCCAAAGGAGAGTGTGTGACAGATGAGTGCAGGAGCCAGGCGCTGAGGGGTGCCTGGGTCTATAGGGGATGGATGCAGCCTCCTGCTCCTCCCCGAGCTGCAGCGGGCTGAGGGGCTCTGCCCCTTCCCAGGGAGGGAGCTGGGAGCCCGGCCTGGGTCGTTCTCTCTTCTCAGGGCCCCCGAGGCAAACCCAGAGGGGGGGAAACCTGACCCGTGCCCTCCTCTTGTCCCATCGCAGGTCCGGTTACGAACGCCTTCATCGTGCTGGCCCCCGCCAACATGCTCAGCCCCGACGGGAAGCCCAGCACACCCCTGCCCAAGTTCAGCAGGCACCTCCACGGCACCGAGAGCAGCGACGAGCAGGGCGGCGAGGGGCTCACGCTGCGCCTGGGCCTCCACCAGCAGGTACTGGGAGGAGGGGACGGGGTGGATGCAGTGCTGGAGGCTGCAAACCCTCTCCTCCAGGCACAGCAGCGGTGGCTGCTCCGTGCTGATCCCCAGCCTCTTCTGATCTCCCCTACGTTGCCATCACCCCCCCAAGTGCTGTCACTGAAAGCAGAGGAGCTGAGCCCTGCCTGCTCCCTTCTCCAGCGTGGCACAACCTCTTCCTCCCCTTCTTCCCCGTGCTCCACAATCCCTCCTGGCTGCTGCAGTCATTTGTCCTGCCAGCCTCGTGCCACAGCCCGGCCTGGCTCTGCTGTCCCATCACCATGGGCCCTCGCTCCAGGCATAGCCATCCCCAGGCAGGGGGGTCCTGCACTATTGGTGCTCACCAGGTGCCTGTTGGTGCCCCCAGAGCTTCTCTTCCCTATCAGTGTCTGTCCCCGGTGAGGGTCAGTCCTGCCCCGGCTGATGGATGAGCTCTGTGTCGGGTGCTGTTTGCAGGCTTGGCCATACCCTGCTCTCTTTCTGCTTTGTCCCATGGGGCTGGGGGGGGTGGTGAGGGGGTTCTTTGGCTGCTCCAGCAGGGAACCCTACCTGGGAGCACTGGGAGAGGATCTGGGTCGCCTGTCTCAGTCCCTCATGTCTGGTCCCTGCAGGAGTCTGGAGAGAGCTACCTGGAGAAGGCCAGGAGAACCTACTCACAGATGTACTCCACGAGGGAAAAGGTGAGAGCTGCTCTGAGATGGGGAAGTGGTGTCCTTCTGGTGCAGACCTCCTGGGGGTCCTCCACAGCTGAACCAGCTCCTGGGGCCCTGTCCAGGTTGGGGACGGGAGGAATGAGCCCTGGAGTTCACTGGGGACAGCAGGAGGGAGGAGATGGAGTTGGGAGCGACCCGAAGGGTTGGGGACGTGCAGCATCCGCTTGCCGGGTGCTTGATGCTTCCCTGTCGTGTTTCCCTGTGGCAGAACCTGGTGGGAGACCAGGAGCACCTGACGATCCAGGTGAGTGAGCTGGAGGAGGAGGTGAGCACCCTCCGGAAGATCAACAAGAACCTCTTCGACTTCTCGGCCCGCATCATCACCAAACCCGCTAAATGAAGCGGCTGCCGCTGCCCTGGTCCCCCCTTCCTCGCCCCCCACTTTTACTCTGCCTCTCCCAGCCCCAGCCTGCCCCACACCATGCACGGAGCTGGGCCTGGCACTGTGGGGATAACGCAGGGACCGTTGTCAGCCCCGATTCGGTGCTGCAGGCAGGCTCGGAGCATCCATGGGGCTGCGGGAGGAGCGGCACCGGCTCCGACGTGGGGCTCAGGAGGCGGCTCCTGCTCTTTTCCCTGTCTCTTCCCTGGCCCTTTCCTGTTCTTTTTGTTACTTGACCCTGCGGTGCAGATGGAAGCGGGGGCTTTCTCCTAAACAGCGGTTTGAGATTGGAGTTTGGAGACCCCTTCCACCCCTGCCACCCTTGGGAATGCTGCTTGGCATCGCTGCACCCCTCACAGCCAGGACCCGCTGGGTTCCACTCTCATGACAGCAGGTCCTGAGCAGCTCCTGCTCCTGGAGCCGGGGGGGGGAACACGGACAGGGGGACCAGGACTCTGCCCCAGGGTGCAGGGGGTGGTTTTGGGCCACGGGTGCTATTTCCAATCTCGTAACGTGACGATTTATATATATTTGGATCCAGCTACTTTGGGTTTGGGGTGTTCTGGTGGGGGACTCGGCCTTTTGTATTGTCATGAGCATGGCAGCAGGGGAGGGTGGGAGGGGTGGGTTCTGTTTAGGTTTATTTTTTACATAAAAGAATTGGTTTTTATAGTGAAAGTGCCTCGGGTTTCTCTTTTCAGCTCCCTGCTCCTGGCGCCAGGGCTCAGTAACCCAGTGGCAGCTCTGGCCATGGGGAAGGCAGCGCTGCTCCGTCCTCAGTTCATGGGTCCCTGTGGGGATGGAGCAGGGCTCTGTCTCCTCACAGTGCCTTAGATAATGCTTTTAGCTTAATAAGGCACCATTTTGCTCCCACTTTGCTCCTGCCAGTTTGGATCCAGGTCCAGTGGCTGCAGCAGGGAGCTGGGAGCATGCTCTTCCCCCCCCATAAGGAGAACCTGGTGTTGCCCAGCAGTGGGGTTGCAGTGCTGCTTGGGGCTCCCTGTGAGCCCCCTCCTATGCTGCCCCCAGGCAGAAGCTGGGTTTTGGGGGGCAGTTTCATACCCAGAGCCTGCTTCCCCCCCCTTCCCCAGCACTCACCCACCTGAGCTTTATCCTGGGGGAGGGAGCTGCTGGGGGTCCCACAATGGAGATCTTGTTCCAGGGGGGACCAGCATCCCCTGATGAGGGGTACCCATTGCCCTGGCAGGATTTGCTCTGCTCCCCCCCCATCTCTGCAGGGGTAATTCATTAGCTGTGACTCATTAGATCAGCCCAGTGATCAATACTTGTTGCCAGCTGGTACCTGGCTCCATCCCTCACTTTCTTTTCCATATGGATTTCGCAGCGTGTCCCTGCCTCCTCGTACCCCCGTGTCTGTGCTCTTGGGGCCGGGCCTCAGTTTCCCCGGGGGTGATGAGGAGGGTGACCCGTGGAGGGGAGGAAGGCTCCAAAACCCTGCAGCCCCCCCCCCCCGGTCCGGGGACCCCATCAGCTTTGAGGCTGCGGAGGGATGGGGGGGTCCAGCCCCAGCCTTTACCGCGTGTTGGGGGCGAGGTCAGGGCTCCGAGCCCGGCTCGGGGAGGAGGAGGAGGAGGAAGGTGCCGGAGGGTCCAGAGGCAGCCGGGACCGCGCTGGGGACCGCGGGGCTCCTGCCCCGGACCCCCCCCCCCCCGGCCTCATCCGCGTTGCTGCGGATCCCGGGGGCTGCGGGACGGGACCAGAGCCACCCCCCCCCCCCCAACCCCGGCTCCGCTCCCGGCCCCTCCCCGCGCCCGCCCCGCTCCGCTCCCTCCCCGGGCCCGCCCCGTCGGGGCGCATCGCGGCGGGGCCGGTGGCTGCGGGCTCATGGCGGGGCTGCGGGCGCTGTGGCTGCTGGCGGCGCTGGGAGCGGCGGGGGGGCACCCGCAGCCCTGCCGCGTCCCGGCCAACCCCCCCCCCGGCCCCGCCGTGCGTCTCGGGGCGCTGCTGCCGCCCGGTTCCCCCCGCCGCGCCCGGCTCCGCGCCGCGCTGGTCAGAGCCGCCGGTGCCGGTGCCAGCCCCGGGGGGACGCCGCTGCCGTCGAACCTCAGCCTGGAGGTGGTGGCGGGCGGCCCGGCCGCTCGGGACCCGCGCTCGCTGGCGCGGTGGCTCTGCGGGGCGCTGGCGGGGCGCGGCGTTGCCGCCGTCCTGGCGCTGCCCCGCTCCCGCAGGGAGCTGCTCCTGCTCGACTTCCTCGCCGCCGCCCTGCAGATCCCCGTGCTCAGCCTCCCGGACACCCGCGGGCTCCTGCCCGTCCGAGCGCAGGTAGGACCCGCATCCGCCGCGCCGGGCACCGGGGGTACCGGGGGCAGGTCCCCGGCCCGGCTCCATCCAAGCTCTCATCTCCCTCCACAGCGGGTCGCAAACCGGTTCCTCTCCCGATGCTGATTCCAGCTCCAGCCCCGGCTCTATCCCAGCTCCTCGCACTTGCTGCATCCCGGCTCCATCCCAACTCTGTGCTGGCTCCATCCCGGCTTCCATCTCAGCCCTATCCCACCCCCATTGCCACCCGCATCCTGAACACCCATCCTTTGTCTATCCCAGCCTCATTCCGGGTCCCCTCCTAGCTTCATCCTGTCCCCCCATCGCAGCAACATCCCAGCCCCCTCCTGGCCCCCGTTCCAGCCCCATCCTGGCTTTATCCCAACCCCCATCCCAGCTCTATCCTGGCTCCATCCCAGCCCCCATCTCATCTCTCATGGCCCCCTGCCCGACTCTATCGCAGCCCCATCCCAGCTCTCAGCCCAAGGCAACTTCCCTGGCTCCTCCAGCAGCCCTGCATCCCCCAAGCCCCAGTCCCGACCCCAGGGATGTGCCTGGTGCTGGATCCCCCTCAGTCCCCTGTGCGGGATGGGGCAGGGAATGGGCAGAGCGCGGGCAGGGAGGGAGGGAGGGACCGTGGCTGGTGCTGCCTTTGGGCTCTTCCCGTGGGGCAGGAGCCAGGCAGGGGCACAGCCACAACCCCTCTGTGTCGGCAGAGCCCCTTCCACTTCCACGTGGACCGGCAGAGCTCGTTGGAGACGCTGGTGGACGTGGTGGTGAGCATCCTGCAGGCCAACGACTGGCACGAGACCAACCTGGTGCTCTGCCACCCCTGGGACGTCTCCGGCTTCCTCAGCCTCTGGGCCCGGCGCTCCCAGCTCTTGCTCCGCACCATCCTGGACCTCGGTTACCTGGATGAGCCCAGGGCCTCCCGCTACCTCCAGCAGCAGCGGGAGCACTTCAGGGCCCTCTCCAGCCCGGTGCTGATGCTCGGCTGCGACCTGCAGCGCGCCCGGCTCATCTTCCGCACGGCCGAGGAGTCGGGGCTGCTGCTGCAGGAGCTGCACTGGGTGCTGGGGTCCCCGCTCAGCGCCGGCGAGCTGCAGACCGAGGGGCTGCCCCTGGGGCTGCTGGCTTACGGGGAGCTCAACCCGCCGCCGCTGGAGCTCTTCATGCAGGACGTGGTGGAGCTGGTGGCCCGCGCCGTCGGCAGCGCAGCCCGCACGCAGCCCGGCCCCGCTGTGCTGCACACCACGGGGAACTGCAGCAACGGGCACCCGGTGGGCGGCGAGGCCCCGGGGCTCATCCTGTCCCGGTAAGGGTGGTGCTGGGGTGCCCCTTTCCCCGGCTCCATCACACTGGGGTGTGTGTGTGTGTGTGGGGTGTGCAGAGCCCTGTGTGGTCCCTCGTGGGGCTCAGCGCTTCCAGGACGCGCTGTGTGCTGGCTGCACGGATGGGGACGTGTCACTCCCCATCTCCCTCAATGCTTCCCGAGCACGGTTGCTCCATTACCATCAATAACACCCGGTCCTCAATCAGGCTCATGGCTCCCAGCTCCTGTGACCGCCCCCCCATCCCCTTCCCCTCCAGGTTCCTGTCCAACGCCTCCTTCCACGGGCGCACGGGGCCGGTGCGGGTGCAGAGCGCGAGGCTGGTGCGGCCGGAGCAGCGCTTCCACGTGTGGCGCCTGCAGCGGGACCCACGGGGGACCCCGGCCTGGGGGACGGTGGGGTCGTGGCACCGCGGGAGGCTGGAGCTGGAGGAGGGCGTGCGGCAGAGCCAGCGCCACGGCCCCGGCGAGGCGGCGGCGGGCAGCCGGCGGCGGCTGCGCGTGGTGACGCTGGTGGAGCACCCGTTCGTCTTCACCAGGGAGGTGGACGAGGACGAGAGCTGCCCCGTTGGGCAGCTCTGCCTGGACCCCGGCACCAACGACTCGGCTGTGCTGGACGCCCTCTTTGAGGAGCTGGGTGCCGGCAACGGCTCGGTGCCGCGGGCGTACAAGAAGTGCTGCTACGGGTACTGCATCGACCTGCTGGAGAAGCTGGCGGAGGACATGAGCTTTGCCTTTGAGCTCTACATCGTGGGCGATGGGAAATACGGGGCCTGGAAGAACGGGCGCTGGACGGGGCTGGTGGGGGACCTGCTCAGCGGCACGGCCCACATGGCCGTCACCTCCTTCAGCATCAACTCGGCGCGGAGCAAAGTCATCGACTTCACCAGCCCCTTCTTCTCCACCAGCCTGGGCATCCTGGTGAGGACCAAGGACACGGCGTCGCCCATCGGGGCCTTCATGTGGCCCTTGCACTGGACCATGTGGGTGGGCATCTTCGTGGCCCTGCACATGACGGCCCTCTTCCTCACCCTCTACGAGTGGAAGAGCCCCTATGGCATGACCCCGCTCGGCCGCAACCGCATGAAGATCTTCTCCTACTCCTCAGCCCTCAACCTCTGCTACGCCATCCTCTTTGGGCGCACCGTGTCCAGCAAGACCCCCAAGTGCTGCACCGGCCGCTTCCTCATGAACCTCTGGGCCATCTTCTGCCTCCTGGTGCTCTCCAGCTACACGGCCAACCTGGCGGCCGTCATGGTGGGGGACAAGACCTTCGAGGAGCTCTCGGGCATCCACGACCCAAAGGTTGGGAGAGGGTCCGGGTTGCTTCGGATGGGGTGGGAGCAGGGTCCATGGAAGAGGGATCTGTGCCGGCTCCACCTTCCCCGATGGGATGCGCGTTAAAGGTCCCCACAGCCCAGATCCTTGGGATGCGTCCGCAGGGAGCCGGGGCTCTTCCCGACTGATGCTCTGGTGCCTCCTTCCAGCTGCATCACCCCTCGCAGGGCTTCTGCTTCGGCACCGTGTGGGAGAGCAGCGCCGAGGAGTACATCAAGAAGAGCTTCCCGGAGATGCACGAGCACATGCGGCGCCACAACGTCCCCAACACCCCCGCCGGCATCACCATGCTCAAGTGAGGGGCCAGGACAGCGTTCTGAGGGGGTGTCCCGTGTGTCGTCCCCCCCCTTTTTACCCCTTCCAGGGCAGGTTTTGCCCCATCCCTTCAGCCCTTGCATTGCCCCTGTGCTGGTGCAGGACGGAGCCCCCCAGGCTCAACGCCTTCATCATGGACAAGTCGCTGCTGGACTACGAGGTCTCCATCGACTCCGACTGCAAACTGCTCACCGTGGGGAAGCCCTTTGCCATTGAAGGTCTGGGGGGAAATGGGGGAGCTGTTGGGGGGGGGCACAGGACTCTTTGTGTGTGTTTGTGTGTGTTTGCATGTGTTTGCGTGTGTCCGTATGTGTCTGTATGTGTCTGTATGTATCTGTATGTTTGTACATGGCTGTATGTGTCCATATGTGTCTGTGTTTGTGTGTGTTTGTATGTATTTGTATGTGCCTGTATGTGCCTGTATGTGTCTGTATGTGTTTGTATGTATCCCTATATGTCCCTATGTGTCTGTATGTGTCTGTATGTATCTGTATGTGTCCTATGTGTCCCTATGTGTCCATATGTGTCCCTATATGTCCCTATGTGTCTGTATGTGTCTGTATGTATCTGTATGTGTCCCTATGTGTCCCTATGTGTCTGTATGTATCTGTATGTATCTGTGTGTCCTATGTGTCCGTATGTATCTGTATGTGTCCCTATGTGTCTGTATGTGTCCCTATGTGTCCCTATGTGTCCCTCTGTGTCTGTATGTGTCCCTATGTGTCTGTATGTATCTGTATGTGTCCTATGTGTCCCTATGTATCTGTATGTATCTGTATGTATCTGTATGTGTCCCTATGTGTCCGTATGTATCTGTATGTGTCCCTCTGTGTCTGTATGTATCTGTATGTGTCCCTATGTGTCTGTATGTGTCCCTATGTGTCTGTATGTGTCTGTATGTGTCCCTATGTGTCTGTATGTGTCTGTATGTGTCCCTATGTGTCCCTCTGTGTCTGTATGTGTCCCTATGTGTCCCTATGTGTCCCTATGTGTCTGTATGTATCTGTATGTGTCCCTATGTGTCCGTATGTATCTGTATGTGTCCCTATGTGTCCCTATGTGTCTGTATGTGTCCCTATGTGTCTGTATGTGTCCCTATGTATCTGTATGTGTCTGTATGTATCTGTATGTGTCCCTATGTGTCTGTATGTGTCCCTATGTGTCCCTATGTATCTGTATGTGTCTGTATGTGTCTGTATGTGTCCCTGTGTGTGCTCTCTGCCCGTGGCTCCCATGGGGCCGCGCCGGGGGGATGCCGCCCCGCTCCACGGTTCCCCAGCGCTCTGTCCCCGGGGCCAGGCTACGGCATCGGCCTGCCGCAGAACTCAGCACTCACCTCCAACATCTCCAAGCTCATCAGCTGGTACAAGTCCTCCGGCTTCATCGACCTCCTCCATGACAAGTGGTACAAGATGGTGCCGTGCGGGAAGCGCGTCCTCGCCGTCACCGAGGTGCTGGGCTCATGGGACGGGGGCTCTGGGGGGGTCTGAGCCCCACACAGCCCAGCTCAACCGCCACCCTTTGTTACCCCCCACCCCCATAGACCCTGCAGATGGGGATCTACCACTTCTCAGGGCTCTTCGTGCTGCTCTGCATCGGGCTCAGCACCTCGCTGCTCACCTCGCTGGGTGAACACGTCTTCTACCGCCTCGTCCTGCCCCGCATCAAGCGCAAGAAGAAGTTCAACTACTGGCTGCACACGAGCCAGGTGCTGCTGCTGCCTCTTCCCTCGCTCATCCCTCCTCCGGTCCTCCTGCTCACGCGTCCTTTGTTCCCCATAGAAAATCCACCGGGCTCTGAACACGGGCACAGAGGAGCGGGAGAGCCGAAAGCTGGGCTTGGAGCAGAGGTACGGCCGCAGCGGGTGCTGCCCCACTCCTCCTTTAGATTTGGATTGGATACGGGAACGATTCCTCATTCAAAGGGCTGCTGGCACAGGGTGCCCAGAGAAGCTGTGGCTGCCCCATCCCTGGCAGTGCTCAAGGCCAGGTTGGACACAGGGGCTTGGAGCAAGCTGCTCCAGTGGAAGGGGTTGGAAGTGGGGGAGCTTTAAGGTCCCTTCCGCCACAATCCATGCTGGGATTCTGTGATCCTAAAGCTCTCTTCCACCCCGCTTCATTTTATGCTTCTCTTCCTCCCCATGGGCAACCCCCTGTTGTGTGGGGGGGGGTCCCCGCTCAAGGCTCCCACCCCTCCCAAGGTGCGCCCTGCAGCCGAGGCCCTGGAGCACGCGGCGGGTGCGCTTCCAGCTGGACAGCAAAGCCCCCCCCGAGGCCGAGGAGCCCCCCCTGGAACGGGAGCTGCGGGAGCTGGAGCGGAGCATCCGGGAGCTGCGGGACCGGCTGCGGGCGGCGCTGGCCAGGAGGAGCGAGCTGGTGGCTGCGTTGGGCACGGCCAAGGGCGGCCGGGGGCTGCCTGCGCCCATGGGCACCGAGGAGCCCCCCGAGAGGTGATGAGGGTGGGGAGCCCCAAAGCAGCCCAAAGGGTGCGGTGGTCCCGTCCATAGGAGCGGGAGCAAAGGGGTGAGGGATGGAAGGGAAAGGGCTTTGGGATGGGAGGATGGAGAAGGGGGTGTCCTGGGGCTGGGCTCCCCCCCCCCGGGTCAGGTCCTTCATCTTCCCTTCCTGGGGTTAAACTGCAGGCAGCAGCCTTAGCTGAAGGGTTTAGTTTGGGATGGGGGTTTAGGCAGTGATGGGATGTGGGGTGTGGGATGGGGGTTTAGGCGGTGATGGGATGTGAGGTTTGGGATGGGGGTGTCGGCAGTGATGGGATGTGAGGTTTGGGATGGGGGTTTAGGCAGTGATGGGGTGTGAGGTTTGGGATGGGGGTTTAGGCAGTGATGGGATGTGAGGTTTGGGATGGGGGTTTAGGCAGTGATGGGATGTGAGGTGTAGGATGGGGGTTTAGGCGGTGATGGGATGTGAGGTGTGGGATGGGGGTTTAGGTGGTGATGGGATGTGAGGTTTGGGATGGGGGTTTAGGCGGTGATGGGGTGTGAGGTTTGGGATGGGGGTTTAGGCGGTGATGGGATGTGAGGTTTGGGATGGGGGCTTAGGCGGTGATGGGATGTGAGGTTTGGGATGGGGGTTTAGGCGGTGATGGGATGTGAGGTTTGGGATGGGGGTTTAGGCAGTGATGTGAGGTGTGGGATGGGGGTTTAGGCAGTGATGGGATGCGAGGTTTGGGATGGGGGTTTAAGCAGTGATGGGATGTGAGGTTTGGGATGGGGGTTTAGGCAGTGATGTGAGGTGTGGGATGGGGGTTTAGGCAGTGATGGGATGTGAGGTTTGGGATGGGGGTTTAAGCAATGGGATGGGACATGAGGCCCCCACAGCCCCTTCCTGAAGGCTGGGGGATTAAGTCGCAAAGACGACAGAGACAAGTAACGGCTGCTTTTTGCCTTCCAGCTGCATCCTCAATGCAGCAACCCTCGGGGCGAGGGTAACGCTTCCCCTCCCTCCACCGCAGGCACCCATGGGTCCAGCCCAGCTCAGCCCCACCGCAAAGCAGCAGAGAAGAGGAGGAGGAGGAAGAGGAAGGTGAGTAGCCCTCACCCCACAGCGCAGCGATGTCGCAGCAGGACAGGTCCCAAACGCCCCTCCAGGAGCAGCAAAGCTGGGCAGACCTCCAGGCACTGCGGGTGGATGGCGAGAGGCGGATGCTGAGAGGTGGATGCTGAGAGGTGGATGCACTGGCCCACATGGAGCAGGGAAAAGCCCCTCTCTTGGGCAGGAAATAACCCCCAACTCCAGCTGGGGGCAGCTGGGAAAGGAGCAGGCGACAGCACAGCAAGATTCTCCCTTCCCCTGGCGCATCCCTTCGGGATGCTCCTCAGAGCCCCACGTCCAGCAGAGCGGCTGCAGGCCACGCCGGCAGCAGCGTTAGAGATCATATTTATTATTATATACAAACACATTTTGTACATTAATTAAATAGAATGAACTCTACTCTTCATTCGTCAAAGCATTTGGTTTGGTTTTCCCCCCATCCCTTCCCCTCCCACCCCACCCCACTGCCCAACAGCCCCCAGCTCTGCCTGTGCCCAGTCACGAGCAGGGCCCCCCCAAAATAAGCAACACCCGGGGCTCCTTGAGGCCAAACACAAAGAAAAGGGGAGCCTTGGGGTGGGAAATGCAGAGACAGTGAAGGGGGGGGGGGCTCTGAGCCCCCTGGCACCAACAGGGAAACCTTTTTGTGGTGGAAGATGCTGGAACGTGCACAAGAGCCCTCTGAGGGAATGGACTCCAGGTGCAGAGAGATGACTCTGTACTTGAGGGGCACAGTGACAGCTCCCCCCCCAAGAGCAGCACCCCATGAGGCACCTTCCCTCTCCACCTTGTTCCTCCTCCTCCTCTGAGCCCTATGGACATGCTGCAGCCCTGAGCATCCCCCCTCTACCTGCCCCTGCAAACCCTGGTGTGAGGCCAGCCCGTCCCTGTCCCCAAGCCCAGCAGGCGCAGGGCAGAGGGCTCGGACACAGGCAGCTTGTGGGGAAAGGAGGGAAACCAGCTGAAATGTCTTGGCTCCTTTTGGTTCTTTGCTAAACCACCTCCTGCAAGAGCTGAGCCAGGGAAAAGGCGCTCTCTGCGCTGGGATGGGGCTGATCTTGGACACAGACGTGTCCCGTGGCAGGGACAAGGCACTGAAAAGCAGACACCATCCCCAGGGCAGAGCTGCTGTCCCCAAACGGCCCCACAGGCTCCCAGCGGATGTGACCTGAGCCCATTTTCCCCTGCTTTATGTTGGCTGCAGGCAGGTTAAGAGGCCAAGCTCCCATCGCCCTCCCAGCGATCACCAGTGGCACAGAGGCCAGCACTGCCCACACGCCTCTCACCTGCGATGGAAGCTCCCACCTGGACACAGCAGCTTCCATCCCAAAGCCATGGGCTGGGAGACACTCAAGGACAGAAAAGATGGGGCTGAACTGCAGCTTCGGCTTTGGTTATTGCCCAGCTTTACCCTGGCAGCAGCAAATGTAGTCTCTGGGGAAGGGCTGAAGCTCCTTTTCCCCCTAAGGAGAAGGGGAGTCGATCAGGTTTCTCTTGCTTTCCTGGGGGGGGGTGTCTGAAAACCCACCCCCTGTCCACACGCAGCTGCTATTCTAACATGAAGCTGCCACACGCACACACGCTCATGGCTGTGATCCAGGCTGCAAACATGAACACAGGGGGCAAAGAGGAAAAGCTGGGGCAGGGACCCAGAGCGGCTGCCTCGTCCCGCGTCCATCAGGCTCTCGCACACAAGCACACACGGGCTCTTCCCAGAGGAGGCTCACTGCAGCACCTCTTCTCTATCCCGCCTGCTCCACCTCTGCACTAAGAGGAATTCATGGGTTAAGGATGACGGTGAAGTGAGAAACGGTAACAAAGGAAAATCCAGATGCCTCCCCGGCAGTCCAGAGTTACAGTAACAGGGGCTCAAGACAGGCTCCTCAAGTGAGGCTGCGGGCAGGGTGCGGAGCGGGGTGGGCTCTCTGCTGGTGCTGGGCAAGGGCTGCTGTCCCCCCGGTCCCCAGGCGCGCGCCCCGACCGCCTGTCCTGCTCCGTGTCCTTGGCAGAGGCTGCAGGGCTCTGCACCACGCTGCTGCTGCCAGCACAGTCCTTGCTGCTCGCTCGGCCTTGGCTGCCCGAGCCCTCCCCAGTCTCAGTCTGCTCCAGGAGGGGATTGCTGGGGACAGAGCCCCCCTCCTCCTGCAGCGGGAGCGGGGTTGCAGCCGGGGCCGCCTTTGCGGCGGGGGGAACATCTGCTGCAGCCACCACAGACGTCGAGGTGAGCTCAATGGTGATGGAGCCCACGGCCGTCTCCGGGTGCTCGCTGCTCACCCTGATGCGGGCGACCAAGCCGGAGGCAGCGTCCTGAGGGCTCCCGTTGGCCACGGCCTCGTGCACCGCGTTGGGCTCCAGGAGGGTCGTGCTCAGGTCGGACAGGAAGGAGGCCTCGGTGACGATGGCGGCTGTCTCCGCCACCCAGTTGAGGTCACTGCCCGCGGTGGCAGCGGCGATGACGCTGGAGGCCGTGCTGGGTGCCAGGGCGGGCGGGCTGGCGGCGTCCCCCGAGGGGCCGGCGGGCAGGGGGGGTCTGCGGCTCCCCCCGTCCACGGGGGCAGCGGTGGTGTTGTTGTTGAGGTTGTCCTGCAGCGTGGTCTGAGTGCCCTGGCCCACCTGCTGGGTCTGCAGCAGCATCTCCTGGATGCGGATCTGCTGGAGGATGGCCGGCAGCTCGTAGTGGTGGAAGAAGTAAATCATGGAGTGCTAGAGAAGGCAAAGGGAAAGGAGTCACTCGTTGGGCCTAACACACCTTAGAGAACTACGCTTTCCTCATGACTAGAGAGATCAGCTGCTCTGACCACGAGGTTATCTGACATTGTGGGAAGATTTATCCCTTCTACTACAACCCCTGCAAGCTACATGTACAGTTTCTCCCTAAGGAGAATGGAATACAACCCCTCTTCCCTTGTAAGGGCTGACAACTGGAAGGGTGAAGGCATTTCTCTAGCCCACCTTCCTTCCCTGTCTTGGTGGCAGCAGAGAAAGGGGCAGGACACCAGCAATACACACAAAAGGTTTGCCTGAACCAGGATTTTGGAGACCTCAAGTCTGGGGCTGGTCTCTGCACTGCACAGGCCTGACCAGCTCCTCAGCCTCTTCAAGGGGAGATCCTCGGTGGGATTTCCTCCTGAGAGCCAGGACCCCCTTCCCTAACACCTCCCAACAAGTGACATCAGCCACTGTCAGTCACATGGCTGGATCTGAGCCAGTGGCCAAGAAGCCCTCCTGTTCACCAGCCTCCTCCTGCTGTTCCATTTCCAAACCAGGGCTTCTTTCCATCTCTTACATAAAGATCACTGCTCAGACTCAGCTTGACAACAAGTCAGATAAAGCCAGATCCCTGTGAGGTGTGTGGTAAGTCACACAGTGGCTCCTGCCTCTGGGCTGGCTGCATCAACGTGCACCAGAAGTGGCAGCTACTCACCTGGATGAAGAGCCAGGAGGTGACCAGAGCCAGGCTGCTGTACTGCCCGTTGAATCGGTAGTGGTAGGCATAGAAGGCAAAGTGGTACAGATAGAAGAACCTGGAGGGAAAGGCAGAAATCATCAGGATATGGCAACAGACAGGACAAACGTGAGCGTCTGTCTGCTCCCAGCTCCATTCCGAGCTGGGGCAGGTTGCACAGGGCGGTGCAGACTCCAATTAACAGGTAATTCAAATTGCCTTGTTATGAACAAGCCTTCAACAGGGAAGAACAAAGGGCAGGGAAAGGACTGAGGCGATTCCTGACATCCAGGAACAAGCCCAAAGTGGAAGCAATTGCACTTTGGGCCCTGTGACACATAGGTCAGCTCCCACAGAAGCATTCAGGAGCAGAAGTGCTGCTGCCTGGGAGGGCTGGAAGGGATCTGAAGCGGCCCCTTTCCCACCTGAGGAGAGGACACGTGGTGAGAACACGGGAAGGAGGCCCCAGGCAGCCCTCACCTGAGCCAATGCCTCTTGCTCGTATTGGTGTGGCAGCAGATGGCATCGTACTGGTCGGCCAGCCACACGATGAGGATGATGTAGAAGGCGGTGGTGGTGTCGTTGAAGAACTCGGACATGATGGCCTCCATCCCTGCGGGACAGAGCAGCTGCATCAGGGCCACAGGAGGGAATCCTCTGTCACCTCAGAGGAGGGGCTTGGTGACCGTGCAGCATAGGCCACAGCAGCACCAAACTGCCCTAAAGCAGCAGCTACGGGCAAACATGTTCACTGCTGCCTGCAGCCACTGCACAGGCCAGATGATCAGCTGGCTCCAGACAGTGCAGATTTTGGGGAGGTTTAGGGGGCTTTTCAAACTCAGACTATGCTAATGCAGCATGGTCACGGGAAGCATGAATCTGACATGAACTGATTTCCAAATGAGCTGCTTTCTGGGGACCCACAAGGATGATCCAGCTCAGGGTGCCATCAAATTTCAGGGTCCTCACAAGGTGCCACATTAACTACCTCCTGCGTGTCAGACTCCCTGCAGATCCCAATGGGACATGCTGCACAGCACAAGAAGTGAGCTCACGTCCTTACCTACGAGAGCCAGAATGACAGTGAGGAGGGGAGCTGCAGGGAACGCAATTGTCATGTTCATTTCCAGCATCTGTAACAGGTCAACTGCAAGAAGGAGAACAGACTATGACACGAAGTGGCTGTGAGGCCACGGGACCCTCCATCCCATGCTGCTCCCCATTCAGAGCACTGCAACACGCAGTGAAGTCCAGTGTCCCAAGACCACTGTCCCTGACACTTTGTCAGAGACAGAACAGCTCTCCAAGCCTGGTCACAGGGCCATAGGGAGATATATTCCTTGTGCAGCTACACACAGGAGCCTTCTAAACCAACAACAGGGGCTACATGTGATACGCTGTGCTGCAGCAGGCACGGCGTGCAGCACACCCTAAACCCCTCCAAAATCCTTACCAATGAAGACAAAGATCTGATGGTGCGAGTAGCGCAGCAGCATCGAAACGGACAGAGTCTGAAACACGAGAGCAGAAACCAGTGTTAAGAGCCACAGAAGCCCAGGAGTCACCACCAGAATCACCCTCCAGCCTGGCCAGGTGAGCCTGGGCCTGCTGTGCTGCTCAGCACACGGTGTGTAGCCCATGCTCCTCCATTTGAGGTGTGCAGACCTCACAAAGAATAACTGCAACTTCCCCAACTTCCTCTTTGTGTCACTGCAGTGAGGATTGTAAAGAGACCAATTCTGAAGAGTCCAGCAGGGGCCAAACCAAAGAGCAACAGGGCTGGAAGCCCAGTTTCGTCCCATCCTCCATGTGTGCTCCTCCCACCAGCTCATAAGGCCGCCTGACAACAGTCACCAGCTCTCATTTCCCCTTCCAATTTGCCAGTCGTACCCTATTGCACCAGTGCACAGACATGAAGAGAGACAGCTGCCCAGGACTAGGAACACAGGCTGGTATCCCTTGGGATCTCATCTAACGCTGATCTGTAATCACCTCATCTCACACAGTCAGGAGACCTGGATCTATCTTTAGCACTCTTGGCAAATTAGGCCTGTTCTTGGAAGTCTCAGAGGACAAACTTCCACACCCAGTGCCTTAGCAGCTCGAGCGGTTTAACTATGCTTCGAGCCTTTCTAACAGGAATAACTCTTTGGACAAGGAAACCATCACTTCATCCTACTGCAGCTCCTCTGTTTCAGTGTTAGAACTTTAGAACCCACACGCAGAAAACCAAGCATCACAAAGACAAGAACCTCCTGCTCCATCAGCTGAGCTTTAAAAGCAGATGAGGAGAGCTCAGGCCTGGGCTGTTACTTTCAAACATGACCAGCATCAGGCCCAGAGTCCAGGCAATGCCCAACTCCTGTCAACTTACAAATATGACCATGATGACGAAGGCTGCCAGGTAAGAAGTCCTGGCCATCCACATGCTGACAAAGCGATAGTGCTCCCCAGACACCACGTTGCGAAGGAAACCTGAAGAGAAACCACAAGCACACAAGCTCAGTGTGATTCACCCATCACCCAAGAACAAACTTCCAGTGTCTTCTAAAGGAACAGGATCTGAAGCAACACCTCCTCAGCAGCACTGCTGTTGTTATGCAGTGCAGCGAGGCAGCAGGAAGTCACGTTTGCAGACACCTCTCCCCTCCTGCTTGTCTCATTCTGTCCTTGACAATAACATCTCTACGTAACACAGGGAGCCATTCCCTTCATTAGAGATGAATCAATAGGCAGAGGATGACATTCATGCATCTACCATCAACTGCTCTGCTGATCCCTCTGAGCCTTACCTTTGTTTTCTTCATTTTCAGCTAAAGCTTTGACACTTGACATCAGGATATCGTCATAACCCAGGAACTCATCCAGCAACAGGCGACTGAACCTGTCCCCAAAGCACTGGTCCCTGGTAGGATCTGGAGAGAACACAAAAACCCCATTCAGGTTGTCCCCACCTGAAGCCACAGAGGAGGCAGCAGGGCAGACAGAGACTTCTTATCACTCAGAAGGACCCATGTGCCACCAGAGCCCTGTCTGTGCTCAGACCTTTGGCAGTATAAACTGGGCAGGACAGGGAGGGAAAATGTCACACCCTGACAGATCCAGCCAGGCTGTCAAAATGCTAATGTCAGCCAGGCCTCAAGAATTCCATCAGGACTCTCACGCTCTCTGCTGCCACTGACATGAAAGGAATTTGCCTTCTAGCCTTGGACTATTTCCCTGGGCTCACCCCAGCTAATGGCCCAGAGAAACAAGTTCCAGTAAGACTCACAGGGCCAGGCTAGGACTTTTTAGCCATGAGCTGGCCTCAACATGACACTGGCTGGACCCTCCTGCAGTGGAGGACACACCAACACCTCCCCATGGCTCTAGGCATGGATGAAGGCTGCTCAGTTCCATCTCATGAAGCCTGTAAAAATAACCCAGATCTATACAAAACAGGAAGTGTGAACACAAGGAATTTCTCAGTAAAGTACTACTGAAGGCCTTTTTCTAGCTGAATTGGAAAACCCAGGTCAGGAAGCAGACATTTAACAGGGAAACTGCCCATTGCCTGTACAGAAGAACTGCTTAATACTCCAGTCCAGCTGCAACTCAGCTTGATTAGGAGTAAGGAATGAAATCTAGTCCCATTGTTGCCTTAACAGCTCATCACACATTAATTTAGTTCACAGGCCTGAGAAGGCTTGAAACCATATTCCTGATGATTCTATACATGCCAGGAGAAGAGAACACTTCAGGGAAATGGTCTGCTGGTGCTCACAGGGACAAGAACCATGTGGAGACAGTGCTAAGCAGATGTGCTCAGTATTGCCCCTGACACACAACTGCTCCCACTGCTGGGCTCTAACACCATGTTGCTGCTGCTGTTCCACACTGAGCCTAAATCTTTCAGTACCACGAGCCTCTTCCTTCCTCAGTGAGGAAACTGTGCTGGACACAACACTGGGGCTTGCTGAAACAGGCTCCACCATTTCAGGCTCCTCCTCTTGCAAAGGTATGACCTACTAAAGCAATCAAGGCTCCATAAAGCAGCTCTCCTGCGTGGGCAAGGAGCGCCATCAACTGTTATAAATAGTTTCCACAAGACTAAAGAGGCACCGGGGCGTAGGAACCTCTGCAGAGCCCTCACCCACCCCTGCCTGCACCAGCTCCAGCACTCACCCAGAGTCACCCACCCCTGCACCAGCTCCAGCACTCACCCAGAGTCACCACCATAACCGGGATGCTGAGGCGCTGCCGAGTGCTCTGGGACAGGCGCAGGAAGCCGTACTCCAGCGAGTACTCCACTATGTACTCCTCCTGCGGCCACACTGCAAGAGAGGGTGGGAAGGGACACTCAACAGCAGGGCTGGAAACAGCCATCAAAAAGAAATACCACCTCTGGATTCCCTCCCACCACGTCCTGAGAAGAGAATCAGTTGCAGGCACAGGCTCCGAGCTTCCTTCAACCTGTTAAGAACGAGTCAATACACATTCTTGGACGTTACTTTTGCTTCCAAACCCTGCCTGACAAGCCCAAGAGCACTTGTTCTTTTCTGTTCCACTTCTGCTTTCTATGTTGTTTAGAAAACAGCAGGAAAATACAATTACACCTGCTGAGCACCAAGTAAACACCGCACAGGGCAAGAGCATGCACTGCTCACCCCTGCAATGACGAACCTCAGAGCTAAAGGCAGGAGCAAGTACAGCTTTCCAGGGGAAAACAGTCTGTCTAAATATCAAATTTGGTGTGCTTATAGCACAAAAAACCTGGAAAGAAAACAAACAATAAAAGCAGGGATTTGAGGCTCTGGGACCCTTTTGAAGAGATCAGTTGTTAAATCACATCAGGAAGCAGCACAATTCTCTCCCCCACCATGCTGCTGGATCACTTCCAACCAGGAGTTCTGCAAAGCAAGGCACAGCCCATCAGTGCACCCAGCTCAGCTCCAGCAGCTACCAATAAAGGTATTGCACCAAAAATAGTCACTGCTCTCTAGTCTTCTGTCACTTCAGGATCTTAAATTCAGGACTAACGAGTTCTAGATCAGCATCAAGCAAAAATCACTGCAGGAGCAAGGGAACAGTGCCAAGGCAATGCCCAGCCTCACAATCCTCCACAATATCCAGTCCTTCTGAACAGCAAAGAACTCCAGCCTTTCCAGGGATAAAAGTGGAGGTGAAAAAGGCAAATTAAGAAATAATCCAATGACTCTACTTTAACATAAATACTTTTTAATAGATTTCCAGCCCTAACCACTTGAAACATATTTTCCAATGCTGGAATTCCATTTTGAATAATACAAAGCCACTAAAACCTCCCTTGAGTTTAGGAGGCATCAGCAGCTTAAGCCTTGCTGGGACCAGGGGAGGGATGAAGCAGGATGATGCAGAGCAGCAGTGCTGTATCTCACAGTGCTCTAAAACCCGCTCGGTGGCTTTGGGGATTAATTGGCTGTTCCAAGCCCTGGTGTTGACTCAGGGACCCAAACCCTTAATGCAAGGAGGAATGTGCCCTGTCACTGCCACCCCTGCAGGCCTCAAGAGGAAAGAGAACAGCTCAAGGAGGGAGGTTCATGTTTGAGATATCCACCACCCATCACTGCAGAAAGATGGTGCCGGAACAAGAGGCTTCAGCACATTTTATAGCCCAGGCAACCCCCAACTCCCAGCCTCCCTCCCAGCCAAAGGAAAGATCTTGCTGTGGATCTACTGTTAGTACTGACACAATTAATGGCAGGCAAATGCATCAGGGAAAACATTTAAGGTTACTATGCACGTGCCCAGGGAAGCCAGAAGGAAGGAGACGTGCAGGAAGGATGCACAGGGCAGGGAGGGAGGGGCACAGATAGCAGTGGAAGTTGTCTTTACCTGCTCTGGCTAGCATCTCAAACTCGGACACAGTCTCCCTCAGAGGCTCCATACCTTTAGTGGCTGCTTCACTAAATGAGAACTCCCGGCTTTCATTGTGGGTCAGCGCCTCGGTGCTGCTCACCCGGGATGGCTTGAGGAACACCTTGGGCTCGATATCCAGCTCAAACTGTTGGAGAATCATGGCAGGCATGTCAGCAAACCCCCAAAGCTCCAGTCTTCTGCACTCCCTCTGTGCCCCCAGCACCAAAAGGAGAACTTAAGAGGCCCCTTCCTCAGACTTTACTTCCTATCTTAAATCAGTTTAGGGGGCCTATAGGGATGCTGGAGAGGGACTCTTCATTAGGGACTGCAGTGATAGGACAAGGGGTAACGAGTTCAAACTATAACAGGGGAAGTTTAGATTGGATATAAGGAGGAAATTCTTTCTTGTAAGGGTGGTGAGGCACTGGAATGGGTTGCCAAGGGAGGTTGTGAATGCTCCATCCCTGGCAGCATTCAAGGCCAGGCTGGACAATGCCTTGGGTGAGATGGTTTAGTGGGAGGTGTCCCTGGCCATGGCAGGGGGGTTGGAACTGGATGATCTTAAGGTCCTTTCCAACCCTAACTAGTCTATGATTCTATCACCAGAGGCTGCTGTGAGAGTTCAGGAAAAGCCAAGGAACACACTCTGCTCCCAGATGACTGAGAGATCACAGGGGGACTGCACTACCAAACCACTGCCCCCCAAACCCACAACCAGGTTCTGTGTATGCTGGGAACGCGCCTTTACCTTGACAGAGCTGTTTTCAAACATATCCACTGTCATTTCCTCCTCTTCCTCCTCCTCTTCCTCAGCTGTGGATTCAACCACCATCCCTGGGAACTTGTCAGCACCACAGAACTGCAGGAAGATGGGGGCTCGGCTGGAATTGCGCTGGATTTCCACCCGCAAGATGCCGTCGCGCGGCCACTTATCACGCACGTGCTCCAGGCAGTTGATGGGCGAGCGGGAGAAGGCGATGTGGATGTACGCCAGGATGAAGAGCACAAAGAGAGCCTGCACACAGCAAGAAACAAAGCAGAGACCATCAGCCCAACCAGCCTTGGCCTGTTTGCCCCCTCCCCAGTTTTAACCATCTCCTCTTTGCCCTTAAACACACTGGGTTAATTCGGACACGAGGTTTTTACGCTTCCCAAACCAAGCAGCCCAGACTTTGGCAATCTCAGCACTGCTGCGTCAAGGGGGTAACGCACCAAAAACACACAGAGCAAGATCAATCTCCTCCTGCTCACAAGACCAGAGCTGCCACTGATACCTGTGCAGTACACAGGCCCCAGCACCACGTAAGATCCTGCAAACCAACACCATCCTCAGGACTGCACACAGGCAAACAGACCCAACACAGCACTAAGGAGGCTCCAAAGCACATTGAAAGCCACAGAAACACACCCGTGACTTTCAACCATTCCCTCCTCAGCACAAAGCATCTCCTCTTGAAGCCCAGAGGAGACCACCCAGCTTCCAAAGGCAGCATAAAGCAAGCTCCAACAAAAGACAGCCCACCACAAGAGCAGGGCAACCCAAATCCACACACAACAGCCAGCTCCGCGTTCAGATCCACCTCTCGCTGCTGCCGCGGTGGAGGTCGAGCTGGCCCGTGAGGGACATCACCGCTCCCTGGCCCAGGGAACAGCTCTAAAGCCACAGCAAACCGAAGCAGCCCAATAAAACCCTGCAGCGAAGGTCAAGGATCCAGCCCGACGTTGCCCAACACTGTCCAAAGTTCAGAGCTGAAAGCTCCGCGCGACGCCGGTGGAGCGGAACAGCCGGGTGTCACGCACTCAGGGCCCAAGCACAGCGAGACGCTCGCTCCCAGTTTAACCAGCTGCCCTTGCTACGCAGCGCTCCTGACCCATTTGCTAGACACTGGTAAACAGCCCATCCGCAGGAAGGCAGGAGGGAAGGTAAAGCAGAAACACCTCCCTTCCCTCGTCACGGGAGGAGCCACCGCAACCACGGGCAGCCGCAGGCCTCGGTGCGCAGAGGCTGATCCCAACCCCGCGGCAGGAGCAGGCTGTTCCCTGCAGGTGCCCTGGGAATACTCTTTACTTCCTTGGGAGTGATGCGATCGAAGGGAGACAGCAGCAAGAACCGCTACCAGCCCCACAGCTAGCACCAGCCCTGTCCCAGTCCCCCTTGAATCCAGTCAGGACAGCTGGGGAAGAAAGATGGTAAAACCCCCTGGCAGGGGTGAAGCATGTGCAGTGTGAGACAAGTTGTCCTAAATGTTTCCTTGCTTCAAGCAGCTGAATTTTAGGAACTCAGAGCAGAAGCTCATTCAAGCTCCTCTCCCCCTTCCCTTTAATTCTCACCCTGGTCAGTGCGTGCCCCAGGAGCTGTGGAGCAGGATTTACCCTACAGGCAGCTCACCCTGCAGGCACCAACAGGTCCCTCCGTGGGTCTCCAACCTTGCACCCACATGATAATCCTGCACCCACACTGACAAGAAAGCAGGAGGGTTTGTATCCACGGTGTGATGCTGCACTAGCACTGCTGAAGGTGCTGCCTGCTAAAAGGAAATGGGGTTAAACCAGGGTTGTATATTAAGTGCTTCCAGAGAAGACAAGACTGCAAGAGAACTCCAACGATCACGTATTCAACGTATCCAAAAAGAGGGACTGGTTGCAAACAGAAACCTCTCGCACCCACATCCCTGTCCCTGCCCAGCGCGCTGGCTCAGTGATTTCCTTGCCATTTCCAGATCTGGAATCCCAGCTCTGGCACTGCCGAGACCACCACGGACCACTAACTACAACCAGGTCCCATCTTCCTCACGGAGCAGAGGCCCAGGGGAGCTGGTGGTGCAGGTGGCCCCAAAGGCAGGCTGTGACCTCTAGCAGCGACCAGGTGTTTGTGTTAATAAGGGAACCTGTGCCTCCGTGCCCGGGCAGCGAGGGCAAGGTCGGCTCCTCCCCACAAACCCCCCCCTCCCCTCACCTTGAGGAGGACGAAGAACTCGAAGACGCGGCGGAAGGAGGGTGGGAAGAGGCGCGCGTAGGTCACTGCCATCTTGAAGAAGAGAGCATGGAAGAGGCGGTCGCGCACATTGATGAGAGGGTTCTGGTTGAGGTTGGGGTTGCGGACGCCGCCCCGGTTGTTGCCCCCGGCAGCGCCGCCGTTGCCCGGGTGCTGGTTGTTGGCGTTGGGCTGGTTCTCGGACATCGTGGCTCCTGCGGCTGCGAGCCACGGGGCGGGGAAGGGGAGGGTGGGGGGGGAGCCGCTCCTCGGCCGCACAGCGGGCTCGGCGCCGCCGCTCAGCGCTGCCTCCCGGTGCCCGGCGCTGCTCGGTGCTGCTGCCGCCGCCGTCCCGCTGCCCTCGGGCCCGGCCTCCTGCGCGCAGACGCCTCCGGAGCGGAGGGCGGGTCAGGCCCGGCAGGGCCAGGATCAGGGCCAGGCTTCGGGGCTCAGCGGGCCACGGCTGCGGAGGGGCCCGGGAGCTGCGCAGCGAGGACCTGGCTGCCGGGCCGGCCCCGCGGCCATGAGGGGGACCCCGTTACGGGGTCGGTGTGAGCGCGGCGGCCGCCTCGGCTCTCCCGGTGCGGTGCGACCGGACCCGGCCCCTCAGCGCCCCGCCGCCATCTTCCTCCGCCGCCGGCGTTGGTGCGCATGCGCGAGCGCCGCCGGGGCACCCTGGGACTGTGGCAGCGGCCCGCCGGGGCCCCGCCCCGATATGCAAATGAGCAGCGGTCCCTGCGTACATCGCTTTGAAACGCTTCCGAAACGGCCGGAATCCCGACAGAAAAAAACGGATTTAGAACAGAGAAACGGCGGGTATTGCGCAGAATGCGGTGGGAGAGAGAAAACGAGGGACGAGTCGAAGAAATAAGCATTCACCATGATGTGAAAAACAGTAAATGAGAGGGGTTTAAATTGCGCGTCGGGCGGAGCTGCAGTCGTGCTCGCTTCGGCAGCACATATACTAAAATTGGAACGATACAGAGAAGATTAGCATGGCCCCTGCGCAAGGATGACACGCAAATTCGTGAAGCGTTCCATATTTTGCTCTTTTTGCCCCCATTTTAGGGGGCAATCCCACCCCCGCAGCCCGCAGACACCCCTTTTGTCCCCCGCGCACTGGCAGAGGGATGGGGAGGTACCCGTGGCCCCCCATGTCGAGCCCCAGCACAGGAGAGGGATATCGAGGGGAGATGGGCACCCCAAAACCTTGGTGCCACAGGACTGGGGTCCAAGGGCTGAGGGGACACCCGGGGGTGAGGGGCACGACCCCAGCGCTTGGGCACCCTGGAGGGGTGAAGGTGGAGGCGAAGGGGATGTGGGGCAGGGACCCCTGCTTAGGGGTGAGGAAGACTCTGGCCTCTTGGAAGCCATGGGGAGGGGTTCCCATGTGGGGGCCACCTTGCTGTGCCCCCCCACCCTGTGTCCCCAATGGGGCTGTATTGGGGTGAGGGCGATGCTGCCCCGGGGCGGTACCATGGGTCTTTATTGAATTCCTCTTTGCATCAGGCTCTGCTCCGGCACAGAACACCCGGGGGGACTGGGACCAGCCCAGCACCCAGCCCGGCCCATGCACACCCCACATCTGACTCAGCCCCCCCCCCCGCCGGAGGGTACAACCCCGCTGATGGGGGGAGCTGGGGCCAGCCCTGCGCTGGAGTCCAGGGGGTCCGTGGGGCACCATGGCCCCACTCACACAACGCTCTCCTGGTAGCTGTCATCCTCCAGGAACGGTGTCAGCCTCCTCCCGGGGCTGGGCGCTGCGGGGGCCGCATCCTGCCCAGGGTCCTCATCACTCTGCTCCCTGGCGAAGTGCACGAAGACCTGCGGGAGGGCAGGTGAGGGGCAGCGCCAGCAGGACCCCAGCCCCTTCTTGTCCTTGTGCCCTGCATCCTCCATCACCTGGTCCAGGGTGGTCTGGGACACGGAGTAGTCCTGGATGTGGCAGGGCCCGCGGTGCGCTGCCAGGACGCTGAAGATGCTGGCGAGGGAGCCGGCGCGGGAGGGGAGGTGGAACTGCAGCAGCCCCCCGTGCCGCTCCTTCAGCACCATGCCGGGGAAGCGCCGCTGCATCAGGCTCTCCACCGGGGCCGGACCGGGGCCCCCGACCCGCACCACCACTGTGTAGCCATCCCCAAACCTGCTCGGACACAAGGGCGTCGCTGCAGGGACCATCCACATCCCTCTTAACGCAGGATGCTGATGCAGTGTGGTTCCCCCCCGCTCCCTGAGCCCCAGTACCTGCTCTTGAGGTGCTGGACGCTGCCCAGGCAGCGGAAGCGGCCGTTGACCATGATGGCCATCCTGGTGCACAGCGCCTCGCACTCCTCCATGCTGTGGGGGGAAACGGGGGGCCCCGTGGGGCAGAGGGGGGCTCCACTCCAGGGGTGCCATGGGGCAGAGGTGTCTCCCCTCTGGGGGGGGGGGGGGTGCATGGATCCCAGGGCAGGGGCTCACCTGTGGGATGTGAGCACCACGGACCTGCCCTCCCGGATGACGCTCAGGATGCGATCCCACAGGAAGCGCCGCGCTCGCGGGTCCATCCCGGTCGTGGGCTCATCCTGTGACAGTGGTCGTGTGGGGGCCAGGAGCTGCTGTGGGACACACACCCCCCCCCCCCATCGCTGCCCCCCCACTCACCAGGAAGACGACGGGGGGGGAGCCAAGCAGGGCAATGGCCGTGGAGAGCTTGCGCTTGTTGCCCCCGCTGTACTTGCCCGCCGGCCGGTCCGCGTGCGGCACCAGCCCCATCTTGGCGATGCCCCATTGAGCCACCTGAGGGGAGATGCGAGGGGATGAGGATGGGGGTCCCCTGCGCTGGGGGGGGTGCCAGGGCATGGGCCATACCTTGGGGATCTCCTCCTCGGGGACCCCCCGCAGGCGGCTGTAGAATTCCAGGTGCTCCCGTCCTGTCAGCAGGTCGGTGATGGCGTCGAACTGGGGGCAGTACCCCATGTGCTGGCGGGCGGACTGAGGGTCGGTGAGCACGCTGCGGGGACAGGGACAGGGCTCAGCACACGGGGACAGGGCTCAGCGCACGGGGACAGGGCTCAGCACACAGGGACAGGGCTCAGTACACGGGGACAGGGCTCAGCGCATGGGGACAGGGCTCAATACATGGGGACAGGGCTCAATACATGGGGACAGGGCTCAATACATGGGGACAGGGCTCAGCGCATCGGGAGAGGGCTCAGTACATGGGGACAGGGCTCAGTATATGGGGACAGGGCTCAGCACACGGGGACAGGGCTCAGCACACGGGGACAGGGCTCAGCACACGGGGACAGGGCTCAGTACAGGGGGACAGGGCTCAGCACACGGGGACAGGGCTCAGCACACGGGGACAGGGCTCAGTACATGGGGACAGGGCTCAGCACACAGGGACAGGGCTCAGCACGCTGCCGGGATGGGGATGGGCGCACTGCAGGGATGAGGATGAGGATGGAGCCGAGCACAGGCGCGCTGCGGGGATGAGGCTGAGGAGAAGCGCAGTGTGGGGATGGGGAGGATGGCACGTGCTGCGGGGACAAGGAGAGGGTCAGCCCCAGGGTCCTACCTGTGTCCTTTCAGCCAGGCCTCCCCCAGCGTCACCTCCGTGTCCCCCGTCAGCATCTTGAAGGTGGACGTTTTCCCAGCCCCATTCACCCCCAGGAGGCCGAAGCACTGCGGGTGCACACCGGGGTTACCGGCAGCCCCATCCCTGCCCATGGGGCCGTTTGTCCATCCCTGTGTCCCGCGCTCACCTCACCGGGAGGCACGGCCACGCAGAGCCGGTCCACGGCCGGAGCCTTCCTGCGCCGGTAAACCTGCGGGGAGGAGATGGGGTGGGCTGGGTCCGGCTCCCACCCAGCACCCACCAGAGGGACCGGGGCTATGGGAGAGGCTGCAGCCCCACAGCGAGGGGCCGGGAGCAGGGTGCGCACCTTGGTCAGGTCCCTGAGCAGCAGGAGGTGGCCGTGTGGGGAGGTGCTGCCCACCCTCGCCCGCTCCCTCGCCACGTCCTGGTCCTCGTCGCCCAGTGAGGGCAGCTCCAGAGCCCGAGGCCTGGCAGTGACAGCAGCAGGGGTAATTCCAGGGCTGCCCGCCCCACGGCTGCCCCACGGCCGCCCCACGGCCGCTCCTCACCCGAGCCGCAGGAAGAAGCGGTATTGCAGCAGGAGGGTGAAGAGGAAGAAGACGATGCCCTCAATGGCCATGGCGAACATGTTCTTCCCTGCTAGATCCCAGGACAGGGGGGACACGAAGCGCCTGTCCCCTGCAAAAGGGGCCGTAGGAGGGGGGGCACATAGGGGAGGGCCCCCACACTGACCAAGTCTGGGGAGGGGGAGCAGCCCTGGTACCGCCAGACTCACCGAACCTCTCGAAGGCATCGGCCATCGCCTGGTTCTTCACCATGTCGATGAGGCCTCGGCCCAGGCAGAAGTGGGGGAAGATGAGGAAAACCTTCTTCAAGATGCGGTTGATGTCGTTGAGGTTCTGCCGGGACAGCAAGAAGAGGAGTGGAGGGGCTGGTGGCAGCCCTATAGGGATGGGAAGGGGGTTTTGGAAACCCCAGGGCTCACTTTGTCCACGAAGAGTTCCAGCACAAAGGTGGCCACGCTGCCGTTGATGCCAATGAAGAGGTTGATGCATGTCAGGGCCACGTATGCGGTGCTGGGGATGCTGAAGAGGAAGGAGGCCGGGTACATCAGTGGGGTGATGGACCAGCTGCAGGGGCAGAGAGGCAGGAGCTGGCTGAGGCACAGATCCCAGCCTTCATCACCACGAGCCCCAGAGCCAGGGCTGCCCCCAGCCCTGCTCAGAGCCTCCCGGGGGGGGGTTAGCCCCAGCCCTTCACCCATAGAGCAGCAGCAGCAGAACCAGGGAGGGCAGGTTGGCAGCGGACACGTAGGACTCCTGCTGGAAGCAGAGGAAGATGAGGATGACCAGCAGCGCAGGGACGAGGTAGTTGCACTGTGGGCATGGAGAAGGCGGGGAGGGGGGGGGGGTCACAGTGGGACCTGGCCCCCTGGGGCTGTTCCCCCATCCCTATCCCCATCCCGCACCATATCCCAGGCGAAGTTGCCCAGCCAGTAGGTGACTGGCTTCATCCCACTGACGAACTGGAGGTGCTTGGCTTTGCTGACCCGCTCCTCGATGAGGAAGAGCACGAAGCTGGCCGGGACGAAGGACATGGCGAAGATCACGCAGATGGAGACCAGCACATCCACGGAGGTGGCCATCCTGCGGCGGAGG